AAAAAACTAATAAAACTTAGAATCCAGCAATGCATTGTGTCAACTGAGAAATTCTCCTTTCCTGATGGCCTTACATGTACAGTCATGTACTGCTTAAGGACATTTAAGCCAACAATGGACCACATATGTGACTGTAGTCCCATGAGATTATAATACCCATAATATAAAAAATATATATATATATATAATGCCCATAAGATTATAATATAATTTAACTATCTTTTCTATGTTTAGATACACAGATACTTACCATTGTGTTATAATTGCTTGTTCGTGCTGTACAGGGTTGTAGCCTAGCAGCAATATGCTATACCACGTAGCCTAGATTAGTGGTAGGCTCCACTACCTGGGTTTGTGTGAGCAGACTCAATATGTTTATACAGTGACTAAGGATGCATTTCTCAGAACACATCCCCACCATTAAGTGATACATGACTATATGTAAATAGTTAGCATAAAGTTTGAAATCTGCTTTCCTGAGGATTTAAAACACCTTCAGAAAATTTACATATACATGTAATTGTCAGCAGCTGAAAGTTTAAAGGGAGAATTTCAAGGAAAGTAAGATGACCATACATCTCTATGCTTTAAAGGCCCCAAGGGCTTTTCAAGGCTACAATTAAATGTGTCTTGTTGTATACTGACTGATAGAGGAGATCTGAATTATTCCCTAGCTGGTGCTGCATTAAACCATTTTTCATTAGAATTCCTTTTTCCAGACAGAGCAATACAAGCTCTGCTGCCAGGTAAATGTCCTGGGAGAGATTGTCCTATCACGTAACAGATAAGGAAGTAAATTTTCATTTCACAGAGGAGTCCTTGGAGGAATATTTTAATTTTCCTTCTGAAAACACACCTAGTATATCCTCTTCCCTTCTAAAAGTCTCTCTTGTGTGTGTGCTCCCTCTCTCTTTCTCTCATACATATACAGATCCTATAATTAGGCTCTAGTTTAAAATTAACCCAGCTGAACAGGAGTAAAGAATAATAACGTACCTCATCATCCGCCTGTCGCAACCGGGCAACCGCATAACGCCTCACCGTGGGATTGGTGTAATGAGAGGACAACAGCTCCAAGGAGTCCTCTACATCCATCGGCTTCCATTTTCCCAGAAGTTCCAAGGCCTGTTTGGCCTCCTGAGGTAGATCCCAATTAACGCATTTCAAGAATTTTGTTAAAGCCTAAAATCAGAAAAAGATTCTAAAATCAGAAATAAGAACCTATTCCCTAGGATAGAGAAAGTCAAGGCTGAATAGGGGAGAGTTCCACTCGGTCCTGATGGCAAAGACAGAGTCGATGATAGACTACTTATGTCAACATCACATGAAGTTCAACATATGGTCCTAGACAAGGGCTGGATGACAGAAAAAAAGTCATGTTGCCTGCAACTTTACTTTTCCCTGCCATACCACTTGCAGAGCGCTATAAGGTTTAATATTTTGACTTTTTATTATTTTAAAATACCATAGGCCTCAAACATGAAAATGGCTGAGACATGTCTCATGAACTCTAAGATGCCTTGGTAACAACCTTCATTTCACAACGTCAGCTGTGTGACAGGCCAGGCACAATGGCCCGTGCCTGTAATCCTAGCACTCTGGGAGGAGGAGGCGGGTGGACTGCTTTGGCTGAGGGGTTTGAGACCAGCCAGAGCAAGAGTGAGACTCCACCTCTACTAAAAATAGAAAAACTAACTGGGTGTGATGGTACATACCTGTAGTCCCAGCTACTTGGGAGGCTGAAGCAAGAGGATTGCTCAAGCCCAAGAGTTTGAAGTTGAAGTGAGCTATGATGCCAGAGCACTCTACCCAGGGAGACAAAGACTATCTCAAAAAAAAAAACCCAAAATAAAACAAAAACATTAGTGTAACACAAAACACCACAACTGTTAGAGATAAGGCTCACAAGCCAAGCAAGGGTAGAGATTCCCACCACTAGTCTCACTCTTTATCACCTCCTGGGATATGATTACTGGCTTTCCTAGATATTTACCCAGGAGGACTCAAACAAATTGGAACATGTATGTTTCCTTGAGGAGTATTTGCTTAAAAAGACAGACAATCAAAAACTCAAAACACATTCATAAAAATAATTAAGTACAAAAAGCAGCAGCAAATAGTCTATAATTCAGCTAACTATTTGCAGCATTTTTCTTTCCCTTCTTTAGAAAGGGTACAAGACTGTCAGTTAAGCAAATTGCCATGGAGAGTATCACTTGTTTCATAAATAATAAATGCTCTTTTAAGAAAGGTACATGCACGGCTCAGCTCCTGTAGCACAGTGGTTATTTTGCCAGCCACACCCACGGAGGGTGGCAGGTTCGAACCTGGCCTGGGCCAACTAAACAAGAAGACAACTGCAACAAAAAATAGCCAGGTACGGTGGTGGGTGCCGCTAGTCCCAGCTACTTGGGAGGTTGAGGCAAGAGAATTGCTTAAGCCCAAGAGTTTGAAGTTGCTGCGTGAGCTGTGATGTCACACACTCTACGAAGGGTAACATAATGAGACTCTATCTCAAAAAAAAAAAAAAAAAAAAAGAAAGGTACACACTTATTTTCCATAAAGAGCAGAACAACCCCTACTACCAATCTCCTAACTAAAAACACTTTCTTGGCTGAACCCAAGATGTTTTTTTCTTTCCTCTCCTCTAGAAATTTGTCTGTGAATTATCTCTTGAACAAGGATAACTTTAAAACTGCACATCCTTCCCTCCTTAAGTAAATTTTTTTTTAGTAATATTAATCAAGTTCTCAAAAAAATGTCCATTTGGACAACAAAACATAACTTCTGGTTACTGTGACACAAAATGAACTATAGTTTACAAAAATAAGAAAAACAGCACTATGATTATCTAGTGAAAGGCTTAAATCTTATATACATGTACAACCTCAGGAAAGTTAAGTTGCTTGCCCACTGTTTCATAACGGTGAGCGAGCTAGACCTAGAACCCAGGCCCATCAACTCTCTGCCACCTGCTTCTCTCACCAAATGGTACTTCCTTGCCAATGAGACACCGCCATTCCCTAAACTCATGAGCCTTGCAGCCATTACTTCACCAACAATGATCTCCTAAATCTACTCCCTGGCCCTGCCAATTATTCCTAACACTATTTCCTGTACTTCCCCTCAGTCTGATTCTCATTATATAACCCATCTAGAGTTTGACACAACCTTCCATCTAAGAACCTCAATAATACTTTCTCTTCTAATCATTTCACACGAACTCTTAGAAGCTCAAGTTGGAAGTGATCTTAGCACAAATCTTCCATTGTCAGCAGAAATATACTCTACAACATCACTGCCAAAAAGAAGCCCAATATTTACTTAAGTAATTCCTGGAACTAATTTTCTAAAGTGGCCATTATATTTTTAGATACAAAAACCATTTTGTTTTTATTTTAACTATAAAGAACCAAAAGACAAAAACATCTTCATGTTAACCTCTCATTGGTCAATCTCACTCTGGAGAGATTGAGGGTAAATTTTGTCC